GGTACAGAAGGCCCACCAGTGGCTTGTGCACCAAGTGGACTCAGTCTCACCCCACCCCAAGGATCCGAAATATGAGTAGAGAACAGTGTGCAGATTTTCAGCTATTGCGAATCGAACAAGTGTAAAAACTGTAAAGATAAAGAAATAAATAAAGCGGTCAATCTGATATGACTGCATTTGTTCATCGCCCTCCTCTGTGTTCCAGAGGGCCGTGTTGTCCGGCGGCCACTTCGCAACATTTCGGAAAACCTCATATTTCGGGGCAACATCGTATTGTAAGGATGCCACGAAAATGAGTTCACTTGATAATGCCGGCAATTACTGGTCTCTGGTTTGTGACATTAGAAGAAGTCGGAGTGGAGTTACGTGGCGATTTGCCTCATCTACGCCGTCTAACAGGGATCTTGGGGTGAGGTGAGATTGAGTGCACTTAGTATGTCGCCACTATTTGGTCTACTGTACCAGCTCGGATGATAGATGATGATGAGTGTGGAGCAGTCGGTGGAATGAAAATTGGCAGAGGAAACAAAAGTACTCGGAGAAAACCTGCCCCAGTACTAGTTTTTCAGCCGCAAATCCCACATGACCTGACCTGGGCTCGAACCCAGGCCGCCGCGGTGGGAAGCCGGCGACTATGCTTTGTTGTGTAGGCCCTGTATATGTGCTATCGTGCGTAGTTTTCGATTTCGGGTATTCACGTGAAGATCCTCTGCTTAATTAAGCGCCATACAATGAAGAAGTGAGGGGAACGGAGGCATAACTCCACGCATTCTTATCCTCGGCACTGTAAGGACGTGAATGGTCAACTTCATGCCCCAGCCGCTTTCTCTCCGGGGAAAGAGGTCCACTACTTGACTGATGTGGGGTTGTATGGACGCAATGAGGGATCTGAACCCTGTGCCCCAGTATTGCACTAAGATGCAAATGAATATGTTCGGGCGCGGCAGCGGTGACTATATCTCGATGACTGATGCAGTGAGGACCCAAACTCGCCGTTGTTTTACCTGTCCAAGAATCAGACGATGTCGCCAACCTCTGGTTTAGAGTACGAATGAGTAAGGGGGTTCAGTGGATGACTAAATTAATGCCTCTTTGAGCAAGCTACAAATGAGATGAAGGTGCCAACAGCTTCATGCGCTTGCGCTCAATTCCGATATCCATCGACAATGTCTGGTGGCTGACGTGAATACTGGGACCTATAACCGGTCTCATAAACAACCGAACTTCAGTTCGAAGCCTTCTAATAACTCTAACTCTCTTATCTTCCGCTGGCACAAATAGTTGCACTGTCGCTGCAGCCTGGGTTCGAGCGTGGCTGGTTCTCACGCGCTGCTCTCGGACCCGACTGTACAGTAATGGGCCACATCCTGCATTGGGGGGCTTAATTGTATTAACAGACTCTGTAATAACGCACTCAGGGCCGCCATTGATTTAGCACCTAGCTCTTCCTCAGACACTCGCTTCCTCTAGATACTGATTTAACAGCTACGTCTTCCTCAGAATCGGACTTCTTCCAGATAGTAATTTATGGGCTAGTTCTTCCTCAGACACTCAGTTCTTGCAGACAGGCACCTGCCAGCTAGCTCTTCCTCAGACATTCCCTTCCTGCATACAGTGATCTAGCAGCTAGTTCTTTCTCAGACACTCGCTTCCTACAGACCGTGTTCTAGCAGCTAGTTCTTCCTCAGACACTCGTTTCTTACAGACCGTGTTCTAACAGCTAGTTCTTCCTCAGACACTCGCTTCCTACAGACCGTGTTCTAGCAGCTAGTTCTTCCTCAGACACTCGCTTCCTACAGACCGTGTTCTAGCACCTAGCTCTTCCTCAGACACTCGCTTCCCCTAGATAGTGATTTAACAGCTACGTCTTCCTCAGAATCGGACTTCTTCCAGACGGTAATTTATGGGCTAGTTCTTCCTCAGACACTCATTTCTTGCAGATAGGCACCTGGCAGCTAGATCTACCTCAGACATTCCCTTCCTGCACACAGTGATCTAGCAGCTAGTTCTTTCTCAGACACTCGCTTCCTACAGACCGTGTTCTAGCAGCTAGTTCTCCCTCAGGCACTCTCTTCTTGCAGGCCACAGCGGCCCGTCGCTCCCGTGCGGCATGCAGGTGTATCTGTGTTGGCTCTAGTCCGGAGCCCGGCACTTCCATCCCGCGCGGCGGGTTGCTTCTCGCGCGCCAGCCGCTCACGCCCCCTCCTTCCCGGCGTGATTGTTTTGTGAAGGGACGGTCGATGTGTGAGGCTCGCGATGGATATGATGTGACACCGTGTAGTCTGGCGTCACATTCCTGCAGACCATAACCTGGATACGATTCTGAACCAGTTCAGCCTAGGTAGCAGGCTCACATTAACGACAACAGCGGTTATTATTATTATTATTATTATTATTATTATTATTATTAAAATAATAGTAATAAGGCGAATCTGTCCCTGCATTTACTTGAGTAAGACGACACAAAAACATGTGGGTGTGGAAAATTTTAGCTCGATTCATTTATAACCTCAGCATTAGATGGAGGAGTGTGGCCAGCTTCACGCCCTGGCCTCTTTAGCCCGGTACCCATTGACCAGGAGACAGGCTAGTCACCAGAGTCTGTCCTGGACTCAGTGGCGAAGAGTGAGTTCTTCATTACTGCCGCAGTTAATAATAATATAAGGGCATATTGCGCAGGGCGGCCATTCTGAGGGCAGAACACGTCTGGAGGAAGACGCTATCCTAGCGATTAATTTAATTTCGAATGTATTTGCGGGAAGCTGTTGTGTCAGCAACCTTAGAGACAAGGTCTGACGGTGGCTCAGGGGTTGTGTGCACTGCCATATAGTGACAGTGCTGTAATAATAATAATAACGTAAAGAAAATAAACATAGAAGGAAGTGGATAGCGCTGTCATTCGAAAGTCTGGCGTGACCGATTGCGTAAGAATGCCAAGTGCTGACATGAGAAGTACTCAGTGAGGCGTGTATCTCACTGTCACGGTACTTACCTTGCGGCCGTGTTGTGGTGGGGAAACCACCACTAGAAGGTCCTGGCTTCAAATCCCACCGACGCACTCCTGACGACCGGGCACACAACAATACACACGCCGTGTTGTCTTCGTGGTACGTGACAGACGACTAGATGGGCGATTGTCCGTGACGTCTGTAATGACAGGAGCGCCGCATGGCGCATCGTGCACGGCGCATGCGTCGCGGCGGGGGGCGTGGTCTGTTAGGATTATGTTAACAGCAGAGAGAAGGAGGGAAATCGAGAGGAAAGTGGAATGGCGAAGAAAAAGGGGGATAACGCAGTAACCACGTGGTTCTGAGACGACGTACAGTCCGCGACGCAATGCTGTAGAGGCCGAGAACAGTTTAAAGTGAGCCGTCGCTTTAACGAGAAGTTGTTCAATCTTGAGCCCGTCCTCATGGCACTGACACGCTCAAACTGTGTCACTACGTTACCGATTTCCTGACTTCCATTTTTCTGCTGTTCTCGGCCCGCGCCAATAGCAACCGCCTGATATAGATGTGAAAGTAAGTAGATCCTATCCCGGGTCTAGTCAAGTGGGATTTGTGGTGGACAAAGTGGCGCTGGGGCAGGTTTTCTCCGAGTACTTCGGTTTCCCCTGCCAATCTTCATTCCACCAAATTCTCCATCATCATAATCACCCGGAGTAGGCTACAATAGGCCAATCAGTGGCCACCGTGCCGAGTGGACCCAGCTGGACTCCTCCCCCCAAGAAGCGAAGTAAAAAAAAAAGAATATCCTATAATTATCTTGGGATAATGCCGCATCATGCCTAGAAGTTATTTGCCGTGTAGTGTCCCAACTGCGGTGAAGATGCCGTTCAGTGTTTAAAGTCATCACCTGATCTCTTGCCCTGAATTGTGTGCCACAACCGAGAATCGAACAATAGGCCTAATACTAGTAAGGGACTTCTGTCAGTGCTGACATCACTGAATATTGAACTGGGCGAATCTTTTCGTTGCAGGCGCCTCAGAAATTCACTAGCCCTGGTTCGGTAGCAGGAAAGTGAGGTCACGCTGAGGCGGTCCGGGCCTGTCCGCCCGACCGACCGGCCGGGTACGAACCGCCAGCACCGCCTTCTCTGCGTGACGTGTCGCAGGGGAATGCTCGATTACCGACCAGCCACAGGTTACGAGCTTTGATATTTTGAAGCCTGAAGTTTATCTCAGTAATGTTTAAAAGTATAGTTCCTACCTCACAGGAAACACACTGTCCGTCCATTACAAAGCCCAGCCGATTAAAGCTGTTTATTGTAGGAACCCTACGGAACACATAAACACAATCTGTGGACAGAAGACATAACTGTGAATGTTACCACTGCAATAGGTACAAGTTCACAGAATGTTTCGTAACAACAAAGCTACACGTCACGTCTCGACGGGAAAAGACGGGTGACGCCCGTCATGTTGGAGGGCGTCATACTTCGTAAAGTGCAGGCAGTTTGAAGAGCACTGTCCTCTACAATGCGACACTGTGTAGTCCAGGATTAGGGCAGCGACATTTCGTAGGAACGTTCTGCCTCCATCGTCAGGGTGACAAAGTTATTCAAATTTCAACTCTTATTTGACCTACTTACTCAGCCTCCTGTGCGAACCTGAAGATGGAGACAGTAAAGTTATACCAGACTTCAAGTGGTCACGCTCCGCAGTGGCGGTCGTGAGAGCCCCTAGTCTCACAAAGACGCACAAAGCGGTGGCACTTGGCGCAGCGCATACATTAAGTTGCTCAGAGTGTCCGAACCTGATTGTTTGGGGTTAGAATCTTATGATGTAGAACCCGAACGAGCTCAGTAGCCCCGGTTTCGCTATGAATGCAATCTTTAATTGGTAAAACTGGGAACTGAAGACAGAGGGCGCTACTGGTTTTCAAGAACGAAGAGCGCCAGGACGTCGGCTCCTCCGTGGGAATGTGTGTTGATCGGGGCAAATGAGCACAGCCTTAGTCGGGCAGCGAAGCTAGGATCTGTCCAAACGATTCGCATCTTCTTTAGTTAGGTCGTCCCACAGACGCCGGCTTACCGCCGAGGCGACCCGCCGTCGACTCCCAGCGAGTCCACGTGAGACTCGTAGTGGACAAAATGGCTCTACTGCTGGTCTTCTCCGAGGGCTTCGGTTTCCTCTGCCAATTCTCATTCTCATTTCTGTCACCTATCTCCCGAGGCTGGTACAATGGTCCATTTAAGATCTGAGGTACCAAGGGACTCAGTCTCACCCCACCCTGCCCTAAGAATACAACACAGTACAAGACAGTAGAAGAGTGTTCAGTGAACAGACGCCGCTGTGCTGTGGAAGAGACGTCCCGTTTGAGCTGTGTCGTGTAAATGTGCATCTGAGACAGATGACGTGGCGTAGGTACTCACATAACTACGCACGCGCGAACTAGGTTACTATTAGTGAGAGATAGGCCGGACACGTAGCACGCGTTGCAAATCAAGAAACATACGTGAAACTTGTCTGAAAACTGAAGAACGCCACTTGGTAGACGTAGACAAAGACGGAGAGATATAAGAATGAATTTGCTAGAGACAAGGACCGGTAAGGGAGGTGCGATAACCTGCTGTTTCCATGATGACGGGATTTCTTGATAAAGCAGCCAATGGTCAAACGAAATTTACACCGAAGGACAAGCAGTTGCTCAGGTGCGACGTGTCGGTAGATTATTAGGTTAGTTTGTCACATAGTTAACTTATTTGCTATACTTGAACAATTTTTCCTTATTCCATCATTAAGCGCAGCTTGATACAGAACGGCTGTGCGCTCTGGCGGCCGTGTGAGGGTACTAACCGCCTGGAGATAACCTGGCGAGCCTAACGGGTTACCGAGTTTCAGATCACATTGTACAAGTACAATGACTGAAACTGCGACCCATCCATCACCAAAAGTCATGGGTCGATTACCGACTTGGATGACAATTCTGAATGCAGCCAAATGAAACGAGCCTCTCAGAAAACACACAACCTACTTGTTTAATGAAGCGTTATACCTTCTTGTAGCTGTGCAACCCGATTAACGCTACAGTTAGATATATTGCCTACATCCAAGGGGTTTCTATAGTCTCCGCTTACGTGGTGTTACAATTAAGTCTGACAAGATTTCATGGGTACAGGCTCCTCCAAGTTTTCTTGACGATGTAGTCGGAGGAAGTGTGTGGTGGTATCTTGTATGTCATTAAATAATAATGTTGTCATTTAATAAAGGCAATGCGCGAACCAATGCCTTTCTCGTAGCTGCAACATTACGGTATGAGCTTACGAATTTTCGTGTTATAACCTACAGAGTTCAGTGTTAGATTGCTACTAGTTATGTACGTTATGTCTGCTGTTTCTCATTGGTTCATGTGTTGCGGTGTATAATTGAACCTTTAAAGCACAGAGACAGTTGTATTTACCGCTTGTTTTAATATAAAATTACTCTGTATTATACCCACACTGTGTATCTGTGTGTTCCATACGGTTCTGACAATAAACAGCGACTGTTTCCCCGAACAACATTAACCGGTTGGTTTCTTAGCGGTGACATAATGTGTTTCCTGTGAGGTACGGACTGAATCTTTGAATATTATTCGCTAGATGTCAGACTTCAAGGAGTAATTCTGTATGTGTAAATAGTTAGGAGCCAATGTCAGTCTTTTCGCGGAAGAGTGATGTAAGACCCGTTTGGTCCGCCGTTAAACGTAACAACGAATCTCTGTTACTCAGTCTGAAATAACGCGTATGGCTTTGACCTCACAGTTTTGATTTTTTTTTCACTTTTGTTGAAAGTGCATGGCGTCTCTGCGCAGGCTCATCGCTTCTGGCAAAAAACAGGATTCGAGCCAAGGACTGCCTGTGCTCGGGCATCATGCTCTCTGGTGTCTGTGTGGTGAGCTGATTGCTGTTGTTGAGAATGCACGCTAATAAAGCCTGTTGTCAGGACAATTACAGTTGGGAGCACTGCTCACCGGGCGAGCGAGCGCGTGTTGCTGTAACGTCAGTCTCTCCAGTTTCCCTTCACGCATCCAATCAGAAGTCGGTGATCGCCTCCAAATAGGACAAAACAATTTTCTCATAGTTACTGTATGCTGAACATCCTCTGCAGTTGATAAATAATGTATCCTTGCTCTTCTACGGCGCTTTACCAACTATATAGGATCAGAGATCAAATTTTAGAGAACTTGCGAGTGATGAATGCAAACGGACGTGGTCTTGGCCTATTTAAACTATCATTTAGATATTTCCCTAGAAGGGCTGAATGCAGAGCATGCGCCTTTGTTAGAATATCTGACCCCTGGGCCGATATTTGAACTCGAGACCACCCGAATATAGAGCAGGAGTACCAACCACCACTCCGCGGCGTTAAGTAAGTTAGGAACCAAGACAGACGGGGCAGTTGGTAACACTGTTCGTACTTCGCAATTACAATCTAACACAATTTACACTCGCATTATGAGCAGGTCTAATTGAGTCAGTGTGGTCTAAACCCGATTACTGCCTTGGGGGGGGGGGACCACTAACCTCGACTTGAAATCCGACCCGGCCTGGCGGGCCCCGGGAGCGCGTTCTGCACAGCTGGGAATACAGAGACAGCAGCTAGGGGTGTGTGACCCACCCGCCCGCTCGCCATAGTCTTCAGTCGCTGATTGCCGCGTCTTGTAATTCGGTTGGGGACTCGCGGCGTCGCGACGCCAGTGTAATTACAAAACTCTAAAGTAATAACATCTTAGAGATTACAATTCGCCAACTCGAACAATCTGTGTGGAAACAAATGCAATGCTTTGCAGCGCGGTGCTGTCTGAGGCGGCCCCTGAAGTTGGAGAGCGTGTGTTTTCTGCAGGCAAGACAGAGGAGCACACATGGAACAGTTCTCTGCATAGGCTTCACGCACAGTAACAGCGCACAGGCCTCTCGCGACTCACGTTAAGGTTGCTGGCTAGAAGCAGGCCTTCTTCTTCTAGATTTGTTTTGGTTTTCCTCAATCCTTATGTTGAGCTGATCCTCGAATTCAACGCCTCACTTTTGTTAATACCAAAATTCTGTCCTAATGCGGTAAAGCCCTACTTAATGACTTCTCCCCTGCCATATTACCTCGAAACAGGCGACTTTCTATCGCTTTGCCTTGTTCAGTTCCCAACTCCACCGCTACCAAAAGGACGAATAGACAT